TCAAATATTTTAGGAGATGGGAAGGAAGTGGTTTGAGGTTCCAAACCTGGGCTGGGTGAAATGGCAGAGACACAGGTGTGAGGTTGAGGGGGAGGTGTCCTATTCCCATGCATCATGCCTCACCGTGTCATCAAACCCCCAAACTCGAAACACTATCCCCTCATCGCTCAGCTCTGCTCTGCTGCTGCCCACTGCTGCTGTTCCTGCCTCCACCGTCCCCCGAGACCCACAAAGCCCCCCCAGCTCTGGCTTCCTGTGTGCCCAGTGAACACTCTCCCTTCTCCCTCATGTAGCTCTTAGGAGACAAGAGGGGCTAAAATCTAACTTGAACTGAAGTTGTTATGACTGATAGACCAATGTAATTGCAATTTGAAGACTCCATTAAATCTCTTAGCTGAAAGGTCCTTAGCAATCGCTTCCAGTGGTTTTTGAGATTTTGCTGAAGGCCAAACACAGCTTAAGCACGATCTCAACCTGCAAGGCAGAGCAATGCAGGCCTCCCTTGGCTGCCTGCCCTTTCAGCCTGACTTTTACATTCCTAAAGGGGTTTTTTGGAACAAGGGTTGTAAACCACTGATTACACCCTTCATTCTAAAAGCAAACTGGGGCCCAGATAAAGTGAATTATTCCAGGTCATACGGCCAGATAATGCAAAGCTGAGCCTTGTCCCAGGTCTCCTGACTGCTGACCTACTGCTCCTGTCCCTGACCCATGACACCTGGGCACTTCCTCTCTCACCCCTCATCCCTGCGGCTGGCTCCTCCAAGCACAGCCCCCACCAGCCTCTTAACATAAAGAACGTTCTTCATGCCCCACACTTCATGCTGGAAGTCACCTCTTTCCTGCTGCTGTTAATTTTTTTCCTGTTAATTTTTATGACCCCATTGCTACTGAGAGCAAATGCAAAAGAAAGGCGGAGACACAGGGCAGATTTTGCTCATTGCGTGTTTTCATTTTTAATTAAATAAGTCAAGTAAGCCATCAGGCGATGAGTTCACATTCTATTCCGCAAAGCAGACCCTGACCGCCGGCAGAGGCCAGCTCCCTGAAGGGCAGCCCTAGCGTTTCCAGGAGACGGCAGATTGTCTGTGGCCACGGCAAGGACATCCGGGATGACGACGGCAAGGGGGGCTGGGGGCACCCTGTGGGGAAGCCAGAGGCTGAGCAGAATGAGCTACACACTACACATGCACGCGTGCGGACACATGTATGTACCACGGCCAAGTGTGCCATGAGAGGGGTGTCTTGTAGCATGTGGCCATGAAACAGGATACAGGGCCGAGGTCTTGGCAAAAACGCAGCATGTGCAGGATCCAGGAGGGAGCAGGGGATCCAGGCGAACTTGGACGAGAATATACAGATGAGATGGAGACTTCGGGGGTGGGGGTGCCTAGCTCAAGCCCGTGTTGGAGGAAGCAGCCTACAGGGGCATTCTACTCCTCACATAAAGTGCCTGGCCTACAACGTGAGCTAGGCCCGTGAAGATGGCGCCATGTCTGCATCTTTGGGAATACGTGACAAATTTGTCCCCCCGTGGGGATGCAAAAGGACACAAGACCAAGAGGATCTTGAAGCTCTTAAGTGTGAAGTTGCCAATTCTGCTCTGCGCTTTTGAGGTAAAGAGTGGCTCCTGCTACTTCTGACACCGCGAGCAGCTGAGGGGTGGCGTGGCTGCACTCAGCAACCCCTCAGCGCAGGAGCCCGCCACCCCAGCCTCTGGCGGGAGCCCCCAGGCTGAGGGTCCTGGCAGATGTGGAGTAAACTCATCATGAAACATTTCTTTTCTGTCACTTCCTTATTTATTTTCAAGTGTGTGTGTCATACGCAGGGACAAAGGCTAGAATTTGCTTACGTGCCTCAGCCCCCGGGGAGTAAGCTGAGCTTGGGCATGCTACAGAGCTGCACGGCCGGGCTCCTCTTTCCCTTTCCTGGGGACTTGGGGGTCGTGCCCTGCACTGACTGCTCCCCAGGGTGCTCGCCCACTCCACGGTTTACGGGCAGGCAGCGGGGCCATGGCCTTCGTGTATTAGACACTGCCCTGTCTCTCCAAGGCCTGGGACGCTCTGAACCACCTGCCCAGGCTGCAGCGAAGAGCTCATCGGCGAGAAGGGGAATGAGTACTCTCGTTGCTGCGTGGGCCTCTTGTGCTGGGGAAGCTGGTGGCCGGCGAAGGGGAGGCCTCGCTGTTCCCACCGTCTCCTGGTCGGTGGGCTCTGGGGACGGGAAGGCTCCCGGTGGGGCCAGCTGGAACGCAGCAGCAACCGGGGCTGGCCGCTGCCCCCGGCTGGACCACCTGCTCCATCCACGCTGAAAACCCCAAACACATGACTCCGACCACGTCCACAGAGAGTGAAGCCAGCAGGTACCCCCATGCTGTCCTTCCCCAAACCCCGAGGGCTCCCAGAGCATCACTGAGCCCCAGGGGGATCCGTTTCAAGGCAATACCCATCCACTTACGTCGTGCCCTGTCTCAGACCCCCTGGGCAAAGGTAACACAACAGAAAGGGACCAGGGTTGTAGCTTTAAATCCACAAGAGGGAAACCAAAGATTTTCCTCGAACAATGTCCTGGGGCTGCCATGATGCTGGTTCACTCCCCTCTTGTATTCCGAATTTTCTTTGGGTGTCCTTGTGTTCATGGTGTGTGTCTGAATGGTTTTCTGTTCTTTTGTCTTTCTTGATTTGGGTACCGCTTTGAGTCCCTGCAAATAATAAGGTATTTTCTGTCTCTTTTCTCAAAATAAATAAATTAAGTCAACTTGCAACGTGCACATTGTCAATGTCCTGAGAAGTCCGAAAGGTCCGTTCTCAGTACCGTCCTCACAGAGCCGAGACATGGCCTTGGCCCTAGAGGCACAGGAAGGGAGGATGAACACGGCTGCCCCCACATCAAGAGGGTCCCTAGGAAGAGCCCCGGGTGGAGGTGGCTGGCCCCCAGCCCCAGTGTGGAACCGAGGAGGGAGCAGGGTGGAGACTGGGGAAGAATGGCCAGCACTTCTGGGCCTGCCAGAAACACATCCTGGCCCGACTCTGCCCCACAGTCGTGTTTTCAGAACTGGTGTCCCTTTGAACTCCAAATTAGAACCATCTCCCTGCACAACTTATTCTTGGACTGTAAAATCAAGAGTGGAGACCTCCTTGAATGACTCAAGTCCCTGGCAATAGAGACCCTGCAGCTCAAATACACTGACTCTACCAAATCCCACAAGATGGCTCCTGTCCCCAAACAGTGGCTTCATGCCAGGACACAGGCTTCCCTTCCCCACAGCAATGCCAGCTGGACTCAGATCCTGTACTTCCCTGTTGTCCGTATTACTCAAACCAATATCGGCCCTGCGGGTTTGATAATGGGTTGTATCTGACAAAGAGGTTGTCCAGGAAATCAGAAACAGAGCAGAGCAGCCCATGGTGAAGCTCCCTGCAAGCTCCAAGGCAGTACTGAGTTCTGCTTCCGGCGTGGGGTGGGAGCGGGGAAGGGCTTCCACTTTGGAGATACTCACTGCTTAGTCATAAGACCCCCCTGGCTCTACAGAAAACCTGTCAGGGCCCAGGAGGGATTTTCAAATCTATCCCCTTCTCAGGGAGGGGGTAAGGGTCACCATTTATACTCCTTCTGGATACTCAGCAAGAACACTGGTAGTTTCTGAGATTCATTCCATATGGGGTTCAAACAGAAAAGCCCGTGGGACACTGTGGGCTGCCACGTGGCCACCTAGGCTCCATCCTTCTTGGGGAAGTCTCCTTCTCCTATCCTTTCCCTCTGCCAGGAGCCAAGTGCTCCCTGCTGGCTTCCCCAGCCCCCCTCCAGCCCTCCAGCCCAGACTGCTTCAGGGCCACAGTCCTGCAGAAACAAAAGCAAAAACGGAACCACAAAATAAGACACTAAGCCATAAATAACCTAAAATCCCTAAATAAAACACCCAGCCCATCCCGAGTTGAGCAATACTCTTCCCAGAGCCCCAAGGGAGGAATTCCAGATACTGGATGTAACCATGGTGACCAACTGGCTGACCTCTGTCCACGACGGAGAAGCAGGCTTCTCAGAGGAGGGGCACATCCTGATGGGACTTCTCCCCCAAGAGCACTCTACTTTCTTCTTGGCCCTAGCCCAGTGGACGCCTGGCTGGAAATAGCAGGACCATGAGCTGCCTTTTGTCTCCAGGGACCACAGCTGCTTCTGCCAGTCAGGCCCCAGGCAACCTTCAAATATGGACGCGGTTCTCAGGGAGCCAGCTGAGCTGGACACGCCTTTGGCCACACCACTTCTAAACAACCCGCCTGCCAGCCATGAGGACGTGGAGGGTGGGTCAGAGGAGGTAGCCACTAGAATCCAAGGTGGGCGGGGCTTTGGACTCGCAGTTCTGAATCCGTTCAGTCCCAAACCTGGGCAGGGAGCCGTGTGATTGCCCCCACTGTGTTTCCTTCCTCTGCCTCTCTAATAGTCCTAACAATGCAATTAAAGGCTTCTCTTTAGATGTGTGATACAGATAAACCCTGTGGGCCTACACAACGGGAAAGCGTGTCTGTATGTGTGTGCTCGTGTGTGTGCTTTTACGTGCGCTTCTGTGTGTGTGGTCTGCTCGTAATGGGTGTCTTTATATTCGCGTGTGTGCTGCTCTACACAGGGCTGATAGCCATCAGTAACCAGAACAGCTGCCCCATTTATGAAGTTCTGCACTGGCAGGCAAACAGCCACTGTCACCGTATAAGCCTCAAATGGCACCCCTGGTACCCTGTGCTGTCCCAGCATCTCCCCAAGGGCCCACCCAGACAGACTTCCCCATTATCCAGAAAAGAAAGGTTTGCAACGGTGGGGGGGGGGGCGCTGGAGGAGGGGGCGACTGGGACTGGCCAGTGCCTACACCCCTCCTGGTTGTTAAATATGTGGACTCTGGCCCACAGAGTCTCCAGTCATTGATGTGTGTTTCACGTGTGTTTGGGTGTGTGAGAGAAAGAGAGAGAGAGAGAGAGAGAGAGAGAGAGAGAGAGAGAGAGAGAGAGGCTTGTCAATAGGCCCCAGCCGGTCTGGGCCTGCCCAGGAGGCTGTAGCCCCTCAGGTCTGGGTGTGACGCCCCACAAAGGGCCCAGGCACTGTCCTGTTCTCAGAGGGAAACCCCAGGGCCTGTGGCCGTGGCGGGGACGCTAGCTGGCTGGGGGCCTACTGCTACAGCGAGGGTCTGCCTGCTCACCGGGCAGCGTCCCGCCCGCCCTGAGCTTGGGCCGCATCTCACCGCTGGCCTGGGTGTGAGGAAGGCAGGGCGGGCCTTTCACCAGGAGGGGTACCCAGGGCTCCAGGCCCCCTACGTGACCCAGAAGGTGCCCCGTTCCTCCAGCAGGCTGACAGAGCGGTTGGTGAGGGAGGCGGCATCCCGCGCCAGTTTGTAGCCGAAGAGGCGCATGGCGGGCCCGCAGGCGGCCTGCACCACCTGGGCCAGCTTGAAGGGCATGCTGAAGCGCCACTTCTCGAACTGCTCCGAGGAGTTCTTCTGGGTGGAGTAGATGCCGCTGCTGTCGCGGGCCGCCTGGGTGTTCTTCTGGATCCAGTCCTCCACCTGCGGGGTCAGGGGGATGCCCGCGAAGCGGTACATCTCTCGGGCCTTCTGCAGGGGCCTGCGCGCCACGTCCTCGTAGCGCACCAGCATGTAGCGGCCCCGGAGCCAGGCGGGCTGCCGCAGGCCCAGCTCGGCCGACAGGCGGATGCTCTCGCAGTTGCCCCGCAGCCGCTGCACCTCCTCCTCTCTCAGCCGGTCCTCCCCCTCCGCGAGCCACTTCTTCCAGGTCTCGTACTTGCCGGCGAAGGCCACGATGCGGGAGGCCAGCACGGCCCGGGGGTCGCGCACCAGCTGGATGACTCGCAGGTCCAGCCGCGGGTCCTCGGCCAGCGGCTGCAGGAACTCCAGCTGCCGGATGCGCACGGCCTTGAGGGCCATGTGCTCCTTGCGGCGGCAGGCCTCGGCGGCCAGCGTCACGTTGAGGGGGCCGCAGCGCCGGTTCTTGCAGTGGTACTTCTCGAAGACCTTCTTGACGAAGGGCGTGCAGACCGGGTCCTCGCAGAGGGAGCGGCTGGAGCCCCGGCGGAACATGAACTGGGTCAGGTGGTCCTCGGGCAGGGGCGTGATGAAGTGCTCCAGGACGTACAGGTCGCACAGGAAGAGCTGCTTGAGCACGTCGCGGTACACCAGCGCCGAGCCCGCGGCGCTGGCGCCTCCCGGCTCGAAGGACACCGTGCGCTCGATGTGCCACAGCGGCTCGAAGAGGTAGAAGATGTTGCCCTGCTGGTTGAAGAACTCGCCCACGAACGAGGAGCCCGTGCGGGTGGTGGCCATGAGGAGCACGTGGCGCCGGGGAGGGCCAGGTCGGCGCTGCTCGGCCTCGGCCTCCTCTTCTTCCTCCACGCCCAGCTGCAGGCTGAGGTTGCGGAGGCGGCTCTGCAGCTGGGAAAAGGCGGAGTCGAGCTCGCTCAGGGACAAGAGCGACGCGTTCTCAGCCAAGCCCAGGGCTGGGTCGGTGCTGTTGGCATCTGCCAGGGTTTGGGGGATCTGCCTCAGCTTGTCGGAGACCCTGTGAGGACAAAGGAAGACCATGGTCAGTGGCTGATGGGGGACCCCATCTCCTGTGCAGCTCTCAGGAGTCTTCCAAGCCAACCACCCAAAGCCTGTCTTAGTTGGGTTTCCCCAAAAGCAGACTCTGAGACTAGGAGCTGAGTGCAAGTAGCTTATCTGGGACATGATCGCAGGAAAAACTGGGTGGGGGAGTGAGGCAGGGGAGGAAAAGTCCATGGGGGTGTGCTGCTGTAGAGTGGGGTACCCCTGGGGCACATGAGGCTCAATCTGGGAGGGGGGACTCTGAGAGACATTTACTCCCTGGTACTCCTGGCTTGCCAGCCTGCAGGTGCAGAGAAAGCGCTCAGGTGTGCAGTTGTAGGGGCTTACAGTAGGATGCAGTAGGCATCAACTAGGACAGCTGATGCCAAGTGACCCAGGTGGGGCGTTGACAGTGTCTGCTACACAACCCGATCTAGGCTGATGCTTCGCCTGACTTACCCATCCTGGCCAATGCTTTCTTGCAGGGCTTGTGCCTGGGAGGAGAACAGGTCTGAGAAATCTTTCTGTACCTAACAGGCCCACTGCACACAGTGGTACACAGCCCACCCAAGAGCAGGTGGGGACATTCACAGAGTAGCCTATTTGAGGGACACTTCACTGGAGTTGAGCAATACACAACACAGGAGGCTGTGTGGGGAAGCCCCGCCCACCAGTGTATCCTGCCTGTCCATGGGCTCATTCTCACACATGATGTCAAGGCTTGTACAGAGGGTGTGCTGCTGACACAAGGCATCATTCTAGGCCAGGAAGCAAATTAATAGTAATAGCCACAGCCAGCAAATAATGGCACTGGGCTAAATGCTTTTATGTCTTCTTATTTAATCCTTATATAACAAGGCAGGTCCTACCATTAACTGCATTTTATAGAAGAGGAATTGAAGACTCAGAAATGTGAAGTATTGGTATTATCAGTGTTTTCTTAACCTTTTCTTTTCTCCTACACCTGCCATCCCTCCCAAACTGGGCATTGAGTTCATCTTTGAACTGGTCGTTCCTTTAGTTGCTAATTTAGTGCTTTTCTTCTAGAACCCCTTATTTATTTATTTAAAGACAGGGCTTGGGGGCAGTGGCACCATGGAGACTCTACGCAGCTTCCAAACTCCTTGGCTCAAGCGATCCTCCTGCCTCAGCCTCCCAAGTAGCTGGGACTAGAGATTCACACCATCATGCCTAGCTATTTAAAAAAAAAAAATTTTTTTTGAGAGACGGAGGGGGTCTTGCTATGTTGCCCAGGCTGGTTTTGTACTCCTGGGCTCAAGCAATCCTCCTGCCTCAGCCTCCCAAAGTGCTAAGATTATAGGTGTGAGCCACTGCACCTGGCTAGACCCCCTTCTTAATGAGCAATATGCCTCCTTGTGTTATGAAATCTTTCTCATAATGCATTAGAAATTTTTTTATAGATTAGTAAAAATGCTTTCCTGTTTTCATGTTACTTTATTCAAAGCTAATAAGTGCTCTCCTTAGTTTCCTAGTAACTAGGTGTAAAAATCATGTGTTGATTTACAGTTTTAAAAATACTTTAGATATTCTTAAATGATAAGCGTTCTTAATGTCACTGTCTTGCTAGATTACTTGTCACTTATCACTTGACTAAGACTAACCATCTTTACCTCACCCACATGGATACACTTTCTGTTGTTGCTTTGCCTAATAATGTTCCTTTGGGTCCGTGAGGTTCTGTACACTGTGCTAGCACTAATGATGTTCTGTACAACTTTTTTTTTTTTTTTTTTTTTTTTTGAGACAGAGTCTTGCTCTGTTGCCTGGGCGAGAGTGCAGTGGCGTGATCACAGCTCACTGCAACCTCAAACTCCTGGGCTCGAGTGATTGTCCTGCCTCAGCCTCTTGAGTAGCTAGGACTTCAGGTGTGCACCACCACACCTGGCTTATTTTTCTGTTTTTTGTAGAGATGGGGGTCTCACTCTTGCTCAGGCTGGTCTTGAATTCCTGAGCTCAAGCAATCCTCCCACCTTGGCCTCCCAGAGTGCTGGTATTACAGGCGTGAGCCACTGCACCCGGCCAGATGTTCTGAACAACTTAACTCACTGGTTACTCATAGAATACAATGTTGGACCTTTCAACCAATAGAACAAAAGTTTTTAAGTTGACAGTTGCAGAATTGTCATGTTTTTACATTGATCTTTTGCTAATGCAATTAGCAGTATGTTTGCATGTATGACTTAATAAATGCTTGAGTCATTAAAAAAAAAGAAAGAAAAGAAACGTGACGTGTCTTGCCTAAGCTGTCACAGCTGGAAAGGGCCAAGGTGGAGGATTCCAACTTGGGCTGCCTGAGTCCAGCGCCCGAGTGTCACCCTGTGCAGTCATGAGGACATGTGCATGACCCACTGCCTGAGATACGGGAGGGGCCTGGTGATGACTGGTTGAAGAAATGCATCTGCAGGTCCACAGAGAGCCCTGTGGTCACCTCTGTGCCCCCCACCCATCCCACCTTACAAGGAAGACTTGCACTTGTGTCCCTCACCTTGATATGATTTTATTTTCCTTTTCGATGAAGACAAAAACTACCACCACAAAAGCCAAGAAAAGGGCATATTTGCCCCTCATCCTCAGGCTGTGCACAAAGTCCCGGCAGTCCTGGGGCAGAGACAGTCCTTTCTCCATGGGAAATGTGGGGCTGTGGGGACTCCTCAGACCGGCCGTGGACATTCAGCTCAGGGGCATCACTCGGGACCTGGCTTGTCGTCTTCAGGTGGGGGACACCCTCGTCCTGTGGAGAGACAGGAGGTCAGGACACCCTTGTCTGTAGACGAGGAACCTAGAGGATGCTTCTCCACCAGACTTTTGAGGACCCCCCACCCGGATTAGCAGCTAGGACCCCAGACCCATTCTCCGGACAGACTATGCCCCCCAAAGACCTGAGGTCTCTTGAGCAGGTAATTTAAAATGCTAATGAACTCTCCAATTCATCCATCCCACCTTCATCAATTTCTCCCTTGACCTCAAAGGGCAAAGGCACACATACGGAAAAGAATATTCCTTGCAGCATAAATACTTACAATAGCAGAAGACTGCAGACACCTAAATAAAAAATGGCCACGCATCCATGCGATGGATTATTATGTGTCCACAAAGACTAATCAGGTGGCTCTATAAATGCTAATGTGAATAATCCACAAAATACGTATTTAAAACAAAAATCAAGGTGCAGACACAGTGTTTTTATGTAGGACAGGGTTTCTCAACCTCAGCGCTGTTGACGTTTTGGATCAGATAATTCTTTGTTGTGAGGCTTGTCCTGTGCCTTATAGAATGTTTAAGGGCATCCTTGGCCTCTATCCACTAGATGCCAGCAGCATGTCCCTACTCATTTGTGACAATCATAAATGTCTCCAGACATTGCCAAATGTCCTCTGGGGGTGGGGAGGTTGGGGGGCACAGAATCATCCCAGGTTGAGAACCTCTGATGTAGTATGACCTCATTCGGGAAAAAAAGTGGGAAAAATATAGATGCTGGATACAAACGGGCTGTGACTGCGGTGACACAGGGATGGGTGGGTGGAGTGAGAAGGGTGGGTGAGCCTTCTGTTTACTGGGTAACATCGCACATTGTTAGACATTTTACCATGTGTATGTATAAATGTTTAAAAGTTAACTAAAGAGGAAAAAAACCATCATAGCACATACATTCTACCAAAATCCTTAACATGGCCACAGTCTTCAGGTCTCCGATTTCTGGGCCAGCTAGGTTAGGGCTCCCTACAGCCCCCCGCCCCCCACACTGTGCAAAGACTCCCATTAGTACCCGATGCTTTGTCCTAAAGTGACAACTGGTCAATGCTGATATCCCTTCACAGGGGACGGGAAGTTGTGTCTGGGCCTATCCTTATCCCTTATCCTGGGCTGGGAGAGAGATACCCAAACACAGGTGCTGAATGACAGATGCATAAAGGAATAAATGACCCTCCACTGAAGCCATATGCATTTTTCAAAGCCGATACAGCATTGCCCGGTGGAGCCCGAGTCACCGTTTCTTTCCTTCCCCTCACCACCATCAGCAGCATCACACACGTCCTGTCCCGCCAGCGCCCCAGATGCCGGCACAGGCCCCCCCTTCTGAAAGTCCATCCCCCTTCTCCACAAGGACACTCATGCATGGGGACCACCTGCTCCAATCTGGAGTTTGGGAGCATCTTACTGTGACCTTGCACAGGGCACCCGGCTCTTGCTTGCCATTACTGCTTTTTAGAAAAGATGGATGCTTCCCAAGGGGAGTGGCTGATGTTGACACAGGGGAGTGGAGGGCACAAAGGAGGGTCCCAGGGCTGTACTTTCATCTTGCAGTGAGGTGGCTTCAGGAATAGCCAGAAAAATCTGTCCTTTGGGGAAAGCAGTGAGGTGGGGGTTCCAAAGGTGGATAAGCAGATGGGCACCCTGGCAGTGGGAGTGGAGTTCCCCCGCTGCGCTGGGGCCAAGGGTGCTGGGGGCACTTTCTGAGTATGGGGGGGAGGGTAGAGAGGGGCCCAGGAGGGACACCCACAGGCCAGCTCCAGGGCAGCTGGAATAGACCTACCTCTTCCTAATTCTCCTCGGCCTTTTTTCACCCTCATTAAATGAATATTTCCTGAGCCCCTGTTATGTGCTGGTCTCTGGTCTAGGCATTGGGAATACAAGCAGTGCACAAGCAGACATGGTCTGTGCCCCCTGGAGCTTACACTCTGGCTAGGAGGGCCAAATGGAACGACGTGGGTAGCTGGAGCTAATTGAGTGCTTACTTCTATGGGCCGGGTGCCGAGCTAAGCACTTGCATTCCTCATCAAATTCTCCACAAAGCCCTGTTAGGTAGCAACTAGCCCATTTTACAGATTAGGAAACTGAGGATGAGAGAGATTAAGTAACCTGCCCAAGGTTGCTCCAGCCCCTGACCACCCCTCCCAAGTCTAAGTCACTCGAGTCTCTTGGTGCACCCCAGGGACCCCCATCATAGCACTTTGGTGGGGCTTCTAGTTGAGCGTCTGTGCTCCTTTCCTAGACTGCAAGCTCTCTGAAGTTGGGACTAGCATCTAGATGGCACCTGGCACATACCAGCTGTCTAACAAATCGCTGGTGAGCGAGTCTGTGGAGGCTGGTGCCTGGCATGGTGCCTGGTGGGCTGTTGACACGAGTGTGTAGGATGACCAGTGGGGCCACATTCCCCACGCTGGCTGTTTAGCTCTTCATGGGTGTGATGCCACCTGTCCCCATTGAGTGGGTGAGACCCAACACTGAGTCTTCAGAGCACAAGGTGTTGAAATCCTGACTTTCTGCCCTCTCAGCTCTCAGTTCCAAGTTGCCTGGGTCTGATGATGTGAGGGGAGCAAAAGGAGCTCGGTTCGGAAGTGCTGGGTTCTAGTCCTTGCTATGCCTCTGCCATGCTGTGCAACCTTGTGTAAGTGACTTAACCTCTCTGGGCCTCTGTTTGTTCACCTGTAGCATGAAAAGGGCAGTCCCTACTGCATAAGGTTGCTGTGAGGAACATATCTGGTGCACCATAACTATTCACTAAATAGGAGAAGGGTGAAAAGGCGGGAGTGGGTGGGGGGAGATGCCCAAGCTCCTCTCTCCCTTCTGGGTCTAGCACCTTTGGTAAAATTCACAAGTTGGGTTGCCAACTTCTAAACTTCATGACTAACTCCTGAACCTCTTCCTACCCTCCCTCCCAGGAACTGTTGAGTTGTTGAGTTGCCGTCCCAGCCTCCTCAGCCCCAGAACAATACAGGGTTCCGAAGATCCTTCCTGACATTGCCCTAAAAGGAAGGAGCAAGGATTCCAAGCAACTCTTTGACATGAAACACAAGGAGCTCTTGGCTCCTTCTCCCCGCCCCATGCAGGCTGCCCCTGTTCGGCTTTGGAAGCCCGGCAGGGCAGTGGGTGGGAAGGTTCGGGAGCTTTAGAGGTTCAGAGTGGGGAGGGGATGGGTAGTGGGGATGAAAGAGGTCTCCAGGGCTAGGAGGTGGAAGAGGGTCAAGTGCCAGAAGTCACAAGGTCATGAAGGAGGGGGCAGCGCCCGGATGGGGGTCACCCAGCAAAGCCCCAGGCAGAACCCGCCCTGCAGGGGGCTCTCTGTAAGAAGTGGGCCTGTGACATCTGTGACACTGAATGAACCTTAGTGCCACCTCCTTCCCAAGTTGCACACCACAAGGGCTAGTTCTGCCTCCCTTGCTTGGCTCATGAGAAGAACTGAAAAAAATCTCTTCCTCCTTCTTCCCCCTGCCTGTGTCCCAGTGGGGGCCACATTTCCGGGGCACCAGGGCCAATGGTGAAGAGCGCCAAGGGCACATGCCAGCCCAGCTCTGCCTGGGTGCCGTGGGCATGGGACAGCTAGCCCCCTTGGCCCCGTTGTGCCCGGTGCTCCGTACGTTGAGAGCAGACACCAGAGGCGGGAAGAGAAGCACAGCGCTGCACGGCAGCCACCAGCTGATGCGTGCACAGTGTGTGCCAGGTCCTGGGCAGAGGCTGGGAGTCGCCCCGAGGGCTCAGTACCCACCCGGCCCTCCAGTTGCTGGCTGTCAGCTGGGACGTGGACTCACACACCACCTGAAACTACCATACGGCTCTCAAAAGCACTGTCACTCTCTGTCTCACTTCCTCCCACCACTCAGCCCGCTCCAGCTGGCTTCTGCCCCCATCCCTCCCCATCCTGAGAGTGTCACCAATGTCCTGTAGCCCTAGCATGGCTGAGGCATGGCCAGTTTGGGTCTCCCACGTTCCAGGCTGTGCTGCCCACGCCCTCCCTCCTGAGGCCCGCAGCCCACTGGCTCTCCCCACCCCCTGTCCTCTTCCCGCCTGCCTCTCTGGCTCTCCCAGGCTCAGCCTCCTCTCTGCGAGTACAAGTGGGGGCCTTCCCACCCGGGCGGTGAGCCCCTGCTCACGGCTGCGATGTCACCCAGCTCCTCGGCCACACAGAAGCTCCCCGGACACACAGACAATGCCGGTACCGCTGGAGCAGCTTCTGCTCTTAAAACACTCCGCGCTCTGCTCAGTAAGACACAAGCCCTCCAGGGGCCTTTGAGATCCAGACCCTGCTCCCTGCACCTACTTCTCCCTCTGACACCCCGCCCCTGCCCTTCCCGCCACCCCCTCCCCGGGGCTTCTGCACAGCTGGTCCCTCTGCCTGGGAGGCTCTTCTTCCAGACCTCTTCTGGCTGGCTCCTTCTAAGCAGTCACGACTCAGCTCAAGTGTCCCCTCCTCCGCAGTCCCTCCCAGACCCCTGACCCAAAGGCGACCACCTCCCCTCCCCATCCCCTTCCCGCTCAGCATCCGCTTTATTTCCTGCAGAGACGGACATGTGCTGTCGAAGGCCTCTTTCCTCATCTCCACGCGGACAGCTTCACCGCTCTGCTCCACCTTGGCCTTCCCAGAACTGTCTGTCCCTGGCACGGAGTAGGTGCTCCATAAATACTTGTTGAATGAATGAATGAATGCATTTCCCAGTGCATTTAGCCCAGTGCAAGATGCTTAATCATTCTAAGTTGACAGAAAACAAGAAGAGGAGGAAAGAAAAAGCAGTTGCGCCACATAAGAGGGAGCCACGTGTCCGCGCTGCGAGCACGTGCCCCAAGCGTATTCCGTGGGCCCGTGCAAGGCACTCGTGCTAGGCGTGTCGCTGTGGACGGATACTACACGGGTGTGCCTTGGGCAACTTCACACCTGGGGCTTCCCGTGTTCAGTCTCTTTGAGTCCTTGCAGTGCCAGCCTCTCCCAGCTGTGTGCTAGTCCGGGGGAGGGCAGCAAACAGCCTAAGGCACCCCAGGCAGTGCGGGAACACGTGGAAAGAAAAGCGGGCTGTGAGCAGAGGCCGGGCAAGCCCCAGCAAGCGGGGCTTTGGCTTCCCTTCCCTGCTCTCCCTGGGGGTCTTTCTGCTCAGGCCTCCCTCGTGACTTGGCAGGGCCCCTGACTAGAGAACGAGTTTTTTACTTGGATGGCCTCCAGCCAGGCCTTTCCACTGAGGCCCCAGATGGACTGCAGCCCATCTCTGCCTCCTCTTCGGGAGGGGGGACGTCCCAGCAAGCCGGCTGTGATAAGGGACGGCCCTGCCAGACATTGCATCAGGCAGCAAAACTGCACTCGCCTTGCTTGGGGGGCCGAGCACGGTGGGGATGGGCCCAGCTGTTGCAGGCCCGGCTCCCATGGCCTTTCCCACGGGCAGGCGGAGGAGCTGCGCAGAACAGAGGCGCTGAGCGAGGGCAGGGGCTGGAGGTGGAGGAGCTCTGGGCAGAGAAGGGAGCACGAAACCCATGTGGGAGTGCTCCAGCCAACCTGTGGGGGCCGGGAGGCTGCCCCCGCCAGCTTGCCAAACACCTGGGAGGGGGCTCTTCTGTGAGCAGCCTCTGAATCCCCAGAGAGTGGAGACAGGAGGAGACAGGGAAGGCCCTGGCCACTGGCACATGAGGACATGGAGAAGGAGCTCAGAGGGTGACCTGCCTTCCTCAGTTTTAGATGAGAAGAGCTTATCTATCCAGTGCCTGTCCAGGCTGGGTTTTACTTTACTTGGGCACATCCTGAGATGTTCGGGAAGACCAAGGAACGAAGTGTGTGGCAACAGAGGGAATGCCCAGAGGCTGCTGCATGACCCAGCGAGTGAAGGAAGAGGAGGAGGAGAGAATGAGCCGTGTATGAAGGCAGACGCTGCTCTGTGCGGCAGAGCCATGGCCACTCCCCAGCACCCGAGCGCCCCGGCTCCAGCTCCCCCTCCCAGGGATGACCCGTCTCTAACTTCCTTGTGTCCAACCTCAGCCAAGACAGACACAGAGCAGAAGCAGCCCAAGTGAAGGTGTGTGTCACCTGAGCGTCAGTGGACATTACATAGCTGGGAGGGGTCATGGGCCAGAGCCACAAGGTGGACCACGGGACTGCCACAGACTCTCAGTGACCCTGCCCTGGCCAGGACATGTCCTGCTGCCCCTTAGCCCTTTTATGCCTGTGCAAGACATAAGGGAGCACACTCTTCCTTGCCCCATTTGACACAGTCATTCCCAATAGCTGCAGGAAGTGCAGGGCCCCAGAGAAGAGCTTCAGGGCCCCTGTCACATAGGAGTGGACCCACCCCTCCCAGCTTCGCTGCACTTGCAGGAGCCATGGTGGAAGCCGGGGTCCGGAATGCCCATGGCCATGCAGCCCGGTGGCCTGGGGAGAAGTCTGCTGGCTCATTCAGAACTGACCTGGACGTGGACCGAGGTTCATGGCCAAGGACGTGCCCTAAGCCCTGGAAATCCAACACGTGAGAAGCTCCTTGAGGGTCCTGTCAGGGTGGGAGTGGGTGGGCGGGCACCTGTGGCGCACTGCCACAATGAAAGCAAGTCGTGCAGGGACACAAATGCTGACGCAGAAATGCGGAAAGCTAATATTAAGTGATGGTTCGTCTCACTTCATGCTCTTTTATGTTGTTTCAATCTTTGATGACCATGTATCTGTATCACGTTAATACCTTTTTAAAACCCAATCTAAAATTTCAAAAGAAGAATGTAAGATCATTTCGGAGGTGGTTTGAAAAATCCATGGGAACAGGGCAGGACTGGAGGCCGGGAGCCCTGACGGTCCCTGCTGCAACGGTCCAGGAGAGAGGCGGCGCCTGGGCAAGGCAGTGGCAGAGAAGTGGAGAGGGAGGGCAGACCTGTGGGACATTCAGGAGGTCAAACGATGCCCAGCACGGGTGCCTCTGGAGGATGTCATGCTCCGTGACATAAACCAGTCACAAAAGGACAAACGCTGTACAATCTCACACGAGGTGCCGAAACTAGTGAAAATCAGAGAGAGACATATCAGGAGGGTATTTGCCAGGGGCCACAGGCTGGGGACTTAAAGCCTAATGGGTACAGAGTTTCAGTTTTGCAAGGTGAAAGGAGCGCCGGAGAGGGGTAGCGGTGAGGAGTGCACAGGAATGGGAATGTATTTAATGCCAACGACCTTAACAATGTACACTTAAAAAATGGTTAAAATGGTAAGTTTTATGCTGTGTAAATTTTTCCACAATAAAATAAACAGA